GGAATAATTTCACTTTAAATAATCTAAACTTTTTTATTTTAGTTCTTTAAGGACAGAAAAAACTCTAGATCAAAATGAAACAACAGATCCAGTGTCAAACTGTCAGTTGTCAGCATAAACCCTCTATTATGAAAGACAAAAAAAGCTATTCTGGAGAGCCAGCCAGAGGTTAGTGCTCTTTAAGTACAGGTATAGAAATACAGCTGTAACTGTCATCAAAAAGGAATCCAGTCATAACAGACTATAGAAGTTAAACTCCATCAGTAGGCTACATTACAAGGTTTGGGGCTTCAACTTAATCCAGATAGTTTCCCCAGCAAATTTAATTTTTGTTCATCCAGCATAAATCAATAAATAAACACAATATGACAGTGGACATGAGCATTTTTGAAAAGCGTAATGTTACGTTTACCTTACCAAACACTGTTAGGCTTCTAAGTAAAAGCAGATCCAGGCTGACACTCAGTAACTTAAACAGGTGTGCCAAGAAGCAAAACATTCAATGAAAGTTGCTCTTTTGACCAACATATAAGACATTGTCTACAAATGAATATACTAGAATAAACATGATCGATTTAAGAATACTGGCATAGTGAGCCTGATTGTTCATAGGAAGCAGCAAGTGGAAATACATTTCTTATACTGGTACACAACAGTTAAGCTAGTGTTATTTTGTGCTCTGTTAGTTAGTCTCAGTAACAAAGCTGACAAAACTGTTTATTATTGGTAATGTCAGTAAAAAGAGTTTACTGAGAGTGAGAGAAAGCGGTAAGATCCACCATGCTCATTTGGTTGCTAGTAGTTCATGGGCACAAGGATCTCATTCAGCTACTTCTTAAAAGCTTCCCCAGGAAATCGGCTTTAACAACATGGCTTGGCAGCTTGTTCACAACACTCTCCACTCCCTGTATAAAAAGGTTCCTCCTGTTCTCAGGGCTAAACACAATTTATTTTAATGTCCAGTTGTGCTTGTGTGCTCCCATGTCACTGATGACAACAAAATAATCCTAAAGATAGTTTTGTCAATAGCTTTCAGGACTAATACATTTATCAAGTTAAGGACTGAAGAAATTATTTTTTTACCCTGTACATGGCATTCCCTTTAGACCAGGAATTATGCTGATTATTCGTCTTGTTCTAGGGTAACAGGTATTTTTGTAGAGCAGCATCTTGAATTGCACACAGTATCCGCGTGAGCTCCGACTGGTGTGTTGTATAACCTTAACATTACTTCCTTGGATTCAAATTCAGAATTTTTCACAATATAAAAACATCTAGCCCATTTGGTAGCTAGTAGTCTAAGCATCTAATCCACCCTTTTTTTTTTAAATAAAATGACTTTGCTAACATCACTGCATGATTTCTTCCACAATCTCACAACCCTTTGTGTAAAGCAGTGCCTTTTGTTCTCAGTTTCACATGCATTTCCCTGTAATTTCCATTGGTGTCTTCTGGTTTGTATTTCACTGCTGATTTTGAAAACGTCCACTGGATTGATGCACTTGTCTTCTCCACTCAAGACTAAAACAGGTCAGTAATTTCAGCCTGTCAGTGTAGGACAATAGTATAAACATGCCAATGTATCTACAGCAGTTGCTTTTCTCTTAATTGATTCCAAGGGACCAACATATTTTTTGTAACATAATGACCACAATTGTACACAATATCGTATTTTGAATATTATTATTGGTTTGTACAATTTTAACATGACATCTCTTGAATTTAAATTTTATGCTTTAAACTTCATTTCCTTACACTATATTGTCTTTTTTGTTTTTTCCATACTGTGTAGGCACTGTCTTGTATGTATAACTGTTGATGCAACCTGGCCAACCTAAATTTCCCTCTTAATTCAATTAGCACATTGCCACCTGATCTGCAATGCAGTAGGGCTGATGCTCCTGCTGCTATTCCCCAGTAAAATAAAAATAGGATTGTCCAAACCAGCACAGTGGTACAGTGGCTAGCATTGCTGCCCCGCAGTGCTGAGGCCCGGGGTTGAATTCCTGGGGTGCCATCTATGTGGAGTTTGTATGTTCAACCTGTGTTCACATGTGCTTCCTCCATGTGCTCTGGTTTCCCCTAACACTCCAAATACATACTGATAGGCTAATTAATGTCTGCAAAAACTAGCCCTGGTGTGAATGTGTGCATATATGTGTCTGTGTGTGCCCTGTGATGGACTGGTGTCCCAACCAGGGTGCATCCTGCCTTGTGCCTGTTGTTTGTATTGGATGAAGCAGTTAGAAAATGGATGGGTGGGTTGCCCAAACTGGTTCTCACTGTTGTAACGAACCTGAAAAGAGCCCATCTCACCTGACCTGACTTTCTTTTCACCCCAAATGGTTCATCAGTGTATGATGCTATTAAAACCTTTAGTCAGTCCTTGTATTCAATCAAGTACCATCTCAAAAGAAAATGTGTTGATTCAATGAGGCAAAACTCAACAGCATTATATTGAAAATGTTTCTGCCACAGGACAATGACACTGTAATACTGTGAAGCCCAAGTTGACAAAAACCTTGCAGCAACAGGTGTACTCCATACCTTTGAATAATACTGATTAAATAATTACAGATAAAGTAACAGATGTGGAGAATAATGTTGATATATGGAAATTCTGATTTTGTACCCAGCTCTGATGCATTCAAACCTCTGGTACATGTTGCTCGAAGGCTGAACATTTCACAATAAAAGCAATCAATAAACCAAATCCGATCCTAAAATCAGATGGCTTGTCAATGCATCTACAGAACAGGTGCTTCAATTTGCATTGATTGCCCTGTGCATTAGGTGCCAGGATATTTTAATTATGCAATACAGTGAAAATTACAATTTAATTTAGAAACCATTTTGCATTTGATTAGGACCATCAGCGAAAAGCCGCGTCAATTCATAAATAATTGCCCACCTCTGTTGTCAGGTCAATTGTTTTTAATGTCTTTCCCCAAGGCGTTTATTGATACAAACACAATTAGAATCATCAAATAATCCCATCATGCATCCCTGCTATGTATCTTCAGAGATGTCCTTTGTAAAGCTAGTGAATGCTGGTTAAAAGTTCTCATCCAGAAACGGCAAAAACACTTCAGAGTCAAAATCCATTGAAAACAGTCAGAATCTGCCTTATTTCCTGAGCAACAGAAATGCCAATCAATGACTTATCATGCCAAAGAGTAGAGACTGAATAGGGATCATTAGAGCCTCCCATTCATTTATTGTTATCTTCAGTATGGATCAGTTAATTTTTTTGCTTTTTTTCTAGTGATCTAAATGTCCAATTTACCATACACATTCAATCCTGTAAAAAGTGTAAAAAATCCTGTAACTGAGAAAATGTATACAACACAACATAATATTGTGATTAACACATTCTCAATCTTTAATAACATAAGTTCACCAAAGTAGCAAAGGTTTTTACAGTAAGATCCTCTTAGAATGTTCAACAATGCTGATGCAATCTCTGATTAAGCCTACCACTCCTCAAGGTTACAGCTGGCAACATTTGGCAGGACGCTACATGACCAGATTCTCTCTTGAAATGTAAAGTTTCGGTTTCTCTCTGCTCACACGATGCAGTAGAAATGTCCTTACATTGGCATTGTCAAACCCGACAGGATTATTTGGTTTTTCTGACTCAAGATTGAGCCATCTTCCTCCAATTATATTGTAACTGACACGTGTAGCACATGAAACATGCATTCCTCCCAATCTCAGCCTCCAAAGACAAGCCTGCATACTCTAAAAATGATTCACTTTTGGCTAAGGGCAATGTATTCAGAGTAATTCCAATGATTCTTCAAGTAACTGTTTATCCATAGATTTCACTATGTGATTGATCAAATCAAAGCATTTTTGTCCCTGTGTTTGTCCAAAACCTAATTTTCCAAATGATTATTAATGCCACACTATATTCAACCTTTTACATATGCCCTTGCCCTTAAATATCTCAAGAAGCATGAACATTAGGACAGCACTGTCCCTTTCTGTACTTTTTCAAATCTTAAAGTGCATCACATTAGAGTCTCCTTGAATTCCAAGAAGCAGCAGTCTTGAACAATGTGAACACAGTACATTGTCTAATGCTCAAGAAGGATGATTGTTCTTTTATCTTTTTAGACTGTTTTCACAGCTGGTAAGGTAACATCATCACTTTTAGTACCAAAAGCATATGAGACAGTAGGCCTAAATGTTGGCAGTCTCTAAATCTGGCACACGCACAAACATATATACATTTACTGTTTGGATTCAAGATCTTGCTCCCTTGAGGTTATTCAAAGGTGATCAAAATCTACAGAAACTGATTTCTCAAAGCAAATATGTTCATATGTCTACATTTAAACGGTCCTCTGTGCTGTACGGAGATGTACTCATTCCTATTATGAAAAAGACACCTTTCAGCGCCTCTGAATGACAAACAGCTGTACTCAAAGTGAAAGCCAAAAGGAGAATGCATGCAGAAAACATTTTACACAAGGGAAAAACCTGTATCCTGTAACTGACAAGGAACTGAAAGCCCCTGTTGTGTTAATTAAATGGGTATAATACGGTATATATAGTAATGTGTACTTTGATGTCTACTTCCTATTAATCTCATGTCACTACAAACTAAGAAAATAATTTGCTCACCAGTGCCCCATACTGGATGCGAGAAATTTAAGTGTGCAAACCGGTTGCACATTAAATCATTAAGTTCTAAAATAATCGCCTGCTTCATCACCATCTGAAATGAAATGCGTGGAAACTTTCTTTTTTAAATTAACTTTTCAATTTCGTTTCAAACTTTTTTCAAGGTATCTACTACAAAGCTAACACGGATATTCCTGGACGGTTCTTTCTCACATGTATCACATTAAATCCGAGATCCCCTCATACCCAAATACGTATTTTAGAAGTGAATGGAATTTTAAAACGTATTTTAGGTTATTACTCTGGATTGTCTTCCCAATGAAAGAGAGAAAGACGTCTTTCGCGTTGCTTTGCTGTGGAATCCTGCTTACCTGTGACATCTGTGGCCTGAAATTGATTTCCTTCAAGTCAACAGATCCAGGGGAGAGATTGTGGAGCATCTGACACAACAGCACCCCATCTCTTAGAGTCTGTGCCAGGTCGAAAACCGCAGAAGTGGGCCATACGACTCTGTGGTTAGGAGGCAAGACTTTGCAATCTATAAGCCAGCGTCCACACTGTCTCCATTCCTCCATGCTGCCAGAACACAACACTTCCACCAAAATAAGGTACGACGAGCAGACCGGTGTGACCACTATAGGTTTTTCTATGAATATTCCTATCAGCAGAACAAACAAGAAATAAATCCTTTGAGCTCAACAGAAGGGAGATTCTTTCTTCTTTATAAAATCAGACATTGAAAAGTTGGTTTCCTCATACCAATTTCCCGTAAAGGGTTCTAGCTAAAGTTACCCTCGGTATTATCTTCTGGTCCAGTAGCGAAAGCCTGTTACTACCCTTTGTAATGTCTCTACGTGCAAACACGAGGATATTTAAAACAGATCCCTGAAGTGTCCCCGCTTTTAAAAACTCGAATACCCCATGCCCTTGTGTCTCATGTGATGTGGACCTCAATGGAGCAAGTTTGTTTCAGCATGTCCTTGAAGGCAACCTTTCAATATACAAACGCGGCTTCCTTCGTTTTTAAACACCACACACAACATACGTCCACGTGTTCTATTGTATTATAATAAATCTGTTGTAAGTCTTCTTTAAAAACAATAGTCTTCAATAGCTCCACAGTACATCATAATAACGAGGCATGCATTTTGCTTTTAAGTGGAAAAAAAATCTTCAAATTCACGTTTAAAAGAGCGTCCCAACAGGGAATGGAAAAATAAAATTTGCTTTTTAAAAGTTTAATTTAAAAATGGAATGCGAGCCTCCATTCATAAACGCCCAAATCCCAAATACTGTTCTGAACAAATTTAATGTAGTGCGACGAAGACTCCAGTGTCAGTTTCTGCCTTTCACTCCAGTTTGCACTCCAGCGGAATACGGGTTCTTGTGTAGTTTCAACCTGAAGTCCAGAATTGATATATTAATTCAGGGTTGGGAATTTCAAACGCCGGGGAAAGACTGGATTATGTATTTCTTCGTTTTACAGGAACCCAGACAAATGTTCTTGCATCGCCCCGTTCAACCTCTTCAGACTGCTCCTCACTGCACTCCAAAACGCACTACAGAAAAGCACCGGGAGAAAACAGATACTCCCCAACAGTGTAATCCTCTTGTCCCTTCTCTACCGACACAGGGAAACACAGTTGCAAAAATGCTCAGCCCGACATGTGTCCACTTCAGTGCAGTTACTTTTCTTGGGAACTATTTGTTTTCTTTCTTTCTCTGCCTTTTACAGTTCCCTGGGTTGGAGCGGCCAGTCGCTCAACTCCTCTCTGCTCAATCTCAGCCTTTGCAGGAATGCGTGAGCGCGCCTGATAGGAGGAGGGAGGGGGCGAATGTACAACGGGGTTCCGGTCGAGCACGCTAGTGTGTGTAGCGTTTAAGAAGTTGAGTAGTGAAGTAGAAGAAAGTTGGCAGGTTTATGGGGCTTGTGTTCGCTAAAGAATGCCCTCTGTGTGGTCTAGTTCAACGTCTGCAGGTAGCGTCAGCAGAACAGATTTCAAAGGCATGTAATGTGCAGGTTAACAGTCTGTACGATACATCTGAGCTAGGGAGCAGTGCGGACGTGCTGCTCTTCCTTTTATCTTAAGGACACAAGCCGAATACAGTATATGATATATAACTAAGTCCACCGAACATCACGGTTTTTTCTACTTATTTATTTTTTTCGTTATAGCTAAATCTCGATTTATAATAGAACGTAAAATAACTGTAGTTAAATTGGATATTTTAAATGTTAATTTGGAATTCCTTTCCACACTGTATCTAACATTTATTCAAGTCCAGGAAAAAGGAGACGGTGGTTTTAATAAAACCCACCGTCTTTCACGAGTCTTTGTTAGACTTGTGAAAGCCCAGCGTTAACAAGAAAATAATAATACCATTTCCTCTCACCCATGTTAATTAAAATAATGTTTTCTAGTTATTCCTGATGAAGCTGTAAGTTATTGTCTTTATCGTGCTTATGGTTACATTTGTGTGCAGATCAAGGTCATCCATGTAAAAAAAATATTTTAAAGAGTTGTGATTCAATAAAATTGGATGCCTTTTCTTAAATAATCCTGCGTTAAAATGTGCTTAAAAATATTGATATACAAAGCTTTATTTTGATGTTTAGATCAATGACATCCTTTGGCACATACCTGTAGTCTATTTCCCACTTTCTTAGGCAGGTGTTAATTATATTTAACAACAGTGTGGTTTAATCTTGCCAAAAACTAAATAATATTTATCTTCCCAATTCAAAGTTGTAAAGTTAAAGAAATAACTGTCAAAATTGAAAGCAAGTTTGGAGTATTTTAGCCTTCATCTGCAATACCAGTGAATTTGATAAGTAGCAGCACCTAAACTCTCAGAATTCTTTGGCATTTACTCTGGCATTTATGAGTTTCTAAGAAATTTAGTCAACAGGTTCTGTAGTAAGATAAAGGTAAAAAATGCATAAAAATGTTATGAAGTATCTTTCACAAAAAGGGTCCTTTATTACCTATTTTTGAAGGAAGATTATTCTCCTGTCCACCAATGAGAAAATGCTCTGCTTTTAGCAGAGAGGATAGTTCTTTGTCTCTGAAATGATTACTTGTCATTACATTTTTGAGCAGCGATCCATCATGAGTGGAGACTGGTCATGAGTACTGTGAGGAAGTCCATACTCCTCCATATGTCGCAATCTGATTGGCACTACAGAAAAGAAAGGCCCCTGATGTGGCCTTGTGTGCCAGAATGAACTGTGGCGCTTGTAGTTCTGACTCTGAATACAAAACACTGGGAACTAGTTTAACTATCCTCTCTTATGCTCTTGTGAAATACTAAACGATTGCTTCTGAAAGTATTACAGAAAGGATTGTTTTTAATTAAAGCTTAATGTAGCCTCATTAATTAATGAATCTCTACAAAATTGCTGTTGTAGTTGTTCAACATTTCAAGTTATCAAGCTACAATGGTACTTCTGGTAATGGGTACAGTTGGAATGTGAAAAAATATTCTTATCAGTTAAGTGACAGAATTTACTTGACACTTCCTCTTATTTTTCAATGCTATGTACAAAACAGTGACTCCTATCTTTGTTTGGCCAAATTGGATTGCTACTTTTACAAAAAGGGAATGTGCCTGAATTTGATTTCACAGTGTGAAAATGTGGAATTAAATAAATAACCCTGTAAAAAGACTCTGGTGTAAAATAAGGACATTTCTTAAATTATTAGTCCTTGTGCACACACATATAAAGTAGATACCTGGAATGCATTCTACCATTTCATACCACCATGAATAAAAATGTAGATTTGTTGAAAACTCTATATAATAAAAGGCTCTTTCCATTAACATATTGCTCCTAGTTAGTACAGGCAAAGTTAACAGAATAGGATGCCAGCAAAAATCAACATTGTAATGATAGGAATCTAATTTTTCAGGGTTTGACAGTGCAGACACCATTAGGACTGTCTACCTAGGCAGGCAAAGAGGAAGAAATAACAAAGTCAATACTCTCCAGTGAAAGACAGGAGACGGATCTTAAGAGATCTGTTTTGGGAGCAACAGCAAGTGGGAAAAACAAACATTCCATGGCCACAATTGTTTACACAAATTAGTCAAAAAAACTTGCATTGTTTTCTGTTTTTGTTCTATGTTTAAAGATACACTATATATGATTTATTTATGTATGTATATGACCATGACTATGACTATGTGTATATATGTATACCTGTATATTACTTTTTACTGAACACATGATGGTTACTCAATTTCCCTTCGGTATCAATAAAGTATCTATAAATGGTATCTTAATGCAAGTATGATGCTTATCCTATCAAAACCAATGTTAAAGGGATGCAGCCTAGTTCACTTTAAAGCACAGTCCTACAAAAATAGTTGTGTTTGCTATGTTGAACCGCTAAACCATCTGACTTAGAAAGCTGAACAGCACAGTACATGGAACCAGTCCTAGTCACTTTTTAAAGTCTCATTTCTGAAGACCCCTCAGTATTTCCAAATTATACAACTTCTGTCTTCTTTGTCATCTGTGAACAGTTTCTAGTTGATGAGCAGCACAAGGTCATTCTATTTCAAAATCTCTGAATGCATTTTTCCTAACACTGGCGTCACCTCTCTCGAGAAGTAAATATCCAGTTTGACAGGCTGATACAAGCCTAATATTAATGGCCACTAAGCACAGGCAGCACCTGATATGTACTAATATAGGATTAGGTGTTACAGCTATGTAAACATCAGAGGTTTCCACAAAGCACATATCATCTAATAACTGCCAAGGCTGGCTACCATGGAGACTGTGTCTCCTGACACCTCTAGTTCTAAACCTGTCAACCTTTGGCTTTTGAAAGGCAGTAAAATGTAAAGATGAGAAAAAAACAATTGTGGTGAACTCTGAAGCAGTTTTTACTCTTCTCTCTTTGAAAGACAACTGCACAAAACCTTCAATGTCCTAGAATGTCTTTCTCTAAACATGTTTATGCACCCATAGGTACGTATAAACATCAGTAAAAGTATCATTTTTTGTTTAACAAAGCAAAGCTCTTCCAGCCATGTGTATAATACATTTATTTAAAAAACATATATACAATGAATAATGCTCCTTTTAAGAAAATGATTCATATTTTAACATCTGTGCTATTTGCTTAAAGCACTGGTTTACACTATTCAACCCTTCATTAAACTCAGTTTGGTTTAGCCTGGTATTTGACTTAAAAAACGTGTAAAAGTGTAGTAGGAGCATATATAGCATACAAAGTCTAAAGATGGTAAACATTAGTATACCTGCAATTTAATTATAATCATACCTGTTTTGTTATGGAAAATAACAATGAATGTTTGTAATGTTTCGTTTAAATATGTATATTTAAATTATAACATTATTTACTTTAAAAAAACACAGAAATACACATGATACACAGAAATAATGGGATTCATGTACAGGTGCTACAAAAGGGGGTTCAGGGTTAACTAATGCACTTGTCAATAATTATAAACAGAGTAGAACTTGATTTCTTACATTTTGGAACTACATACACTGCACGCTATCTGGAGTGTAGATTCCTGTCATACTGTACTGTATTAAATGGCAATACATTAATAAAATACACAAATTAAGCTGTTTAACATCCCAGCCCAGGCCTCATTCCAGTAGAAAGTGTAGTCAATATTACTAAACCATGTAAATATCTGCCTATATTCATTTTTTACCATTGAAATTTTGAAGTATACTCAACACTAATGTGAAAAAATTCAATAATTACATATAATAATACATTTTCTGGTATATGTCTTTAATAATAGGCAGTAATAGAAGAAGTACTGTATAGAAAGTATTACTGTGAGCAGTATATGAATGTAATATGGGATATAATTGAACTACACATAAATGATTACAGGAGTTATTAAGTAATGCATCACTTCTAATTGGAGACAGATTTTGAGAAAATGATCCCACAAAGAGTTTATTTGAGTGTTGTAGATAAAGATATATCCAATGGAGATTCACCCCAGAGTTAGAAATACAAAGGTATGTGCTTAGTAGGAAATACCTCTAGAACACAAATAGCATTCTTAAACTAAAGGACATCTAAAAATAATAAAAATGCGTTTATTTGACCTCATGAGGAGTTTCATGTTGATGAAGTTCAGAATAGTGAACAAAACCAGACAAACTATCCATAGTAAGTCATTTAAAAAAAGGGATACAAACATACAGTATATGGTGAACTGTGGCTCAGTGCACTTACTGTATACTGTTACGGTATTATCGCGATTTAGATAATGTATAAGGTGTACACGTGCTCCATCTAGTGATACTAAAACAAATTGCAAGAATGTGTATTAACTAATCAAAATTTAAGAAAAACACAACAGTTTGACTTTGTAATCCACATTTATTTGCAAGTCATGTATTTAGATGTATTTAGAGTAGATAACCAAAAGTATTCTACATCATATTTTCAAAGATATTTGAAACTGACTAAGACATTATGGAAAAGCTGGAACTCCAGAATATTTGTATTAAAGCACTGTGCAAACAAAAACATAATATTTTATTAAACATGTTTAGATACAATCATAGTAGCCTCTAATTTATTCATTTCTTTAATGAAATGCAACTAAAAGTTAAACTAAAAGGTATAGAAAAGAAAGTACTTGTATATTTAAATTTTGCAATCACTTATAAATTTAAATGTGACATGTGTTTGAAAGAGTGCTGAATATACCTTTAGGGAAACTATAAAAATTAATTACATGTTAAGAAATACATATTGAGTAAATGTATTAATTGCTTGTAAACACATTATAAATC